CACAAACTAGAGGAACCATCTTAAACAATGAGGCTTTGCGGAAAAGAAGACACAAACTAGAGGAACCATCTTAAACAATGAGGCGTTGCGGAAAAGAAGACAAACTAGAGGAACCATCTTAAACAATGAGGCGTTGCAGAAAAGAAGACCCAAACTAGAGGAACCATCTTAAACAATGAGGCGTTGCGGAAAAGAAGACACAAATTAGAGGAACCATCTTAAACAATGAGGCGTTGCAGAAAAGAAGACACAAATTAGAGGAACCATCTTAAACAATGAGGCGTTGCAGAAAAGAAGACACAAACTAGAGGAACCATCTTAAACAATGAGGCGTTGCAGAAAAGAAGACCCAAACCAGAGGAACCATCTTAAACAATGAGGCGTTGCAGAAAAGAAGAACCTTTTTGAACAATGAAGTGTTGCGGAAAAGAAGACCCAAAACTATAGGAACCATCTTAAACAATGAGGCGTTGCAGAAAAGAAGACCCAAACTAGAGGAACCATCTTAAACAATGAGGCGTTGCGGAAAAGAAGACCCAAATTTTAGGGAAAGCTACTTTTGTTGTAGTATTCTAACAAACGGACGCCAGCAACTCACTATTTCTACTTTCGTGCCCCGATGGGACAGCGATAAGACTATGAACGTACAACGGTAAAATTCGGGGTTCGATCACCCGGTGGACTGAACGCTGATAGCCAATTGTAGTACTTTGCGCTAAACGAATAAACTTTCGAATTTTAAGCAATAAAAATGTTAATTAAGTTAATGAAATTTGTTCAAGTAAAAATTTTAATTAAACTAATAAAATGTGTTCGAGTAAAAATTTTAATTAAGCTAATAACAATGTGTTCGAGTAAAAATTTTAATTAAGCTAATAACAATGTGTTCAAGTAAAAATGTTAATTAAGCTAATAAAATTTGTTCAAGTAAAAATTTTAATTAAAACTAATAGAATGTGTTCGAGTAAAAATTTTAATTAAGCTAATAACAATGTGTTCAAGTAAAAATGTTAATTAAGCTAAT